CTTTATCCATCCTTTTCCCAAAACGAGGGCAAAGAAAACACATTCCCACTTGGATATCATGACTCACGTAGAAGGCAACACGCAGGAAACCACACTGCTCCTATGAGCACCACAGACAGTATCCTCAGCCTCACAGCAAACTTTGGGCAGCCTTCTCCTGTTCTCTTATCTCACCAGGCCATGCAGCCACAAAGGACAGACCCTGCCCCACCTCTTGGCCAGGCAAGGTCCAAGGTGTCACATCAGCCCTGCTCCTGCATCCAGAGGCTCAGGACCTGCTCACCACCAGGTTCCTCGGCTAAACTTCATTCCAGTACAGGAAGAGATCAATCCAACCCAGACAAAGATAAAAAAAGTTCAGAAGCTGGAACTTCTCTTGTCACAAGTTACCCCTTGAAGAACAAAAAGGGAACTGTTTTATTTATTGTAGTATTTTAATGGCTTGAGTTTAGGAAAAAAAGCACAAGTAAGAAAAGTGAAATCAACAGAAATACAGTTTAAAAAAGGGCAGTTTTCTGAACAACTGTATTTCTCTCTACACTCAATCACATATGGTTCTATATAACTTGTGAGTTTATAGCAGTCCTCAAGGAAGGAGAATAAAAGATCAAGCTTGTTAGGAACAAGCAGCTCCTCTGCAAAGGGCTGAATTTTATCTACCAAGTCCTGTAATTTAAACATCCTTTTTTTGGTACCCAGAGAGTTTTCCAAAGGCTCCAGTTCCAGGAACCAACTATATAACTCCTGTTAAAAGAACAAGTTCCTAACTCTTGTACTATCAAAGCAAACACTGTAAATCCATGGCTGAAACCAGTGGTCATGCTTGGCAATGACGAGAGCACATCACATGGGAGTGCCCTCATCCCAAAGACACTGAAGTTACTGATAACCTTTTCCTTGCCTCTACTGGCTCTTAGATCAGAGCTTTAAATAAAACAGATAGTGGCTCGTGCACTTACTGAGAAAAGAATCTACAGAAACGATGGAAAAAAAGTAATTTTTTTTAAAATAAATTTTTCCATATAAGGAGCATGGAATCTTCCTGTGAAGGGAAATTCCAAAACCAGGACCAAAATAAATACTGAAGTGGGATGCCAAGTAGCAGCAGCATAGGACTGATGTGAAATAGCCAACAAGCAAGACCTTAAGCTGTGATTTGAAGAAATACAATAATAAACCTATGAGACACATACTACATAATCTGGGTTTGTTAATGTACAATCAATATTTTTACACCAATGACTTTTTTTTGGTTTTTTAGCATAAAGCACCTTGCATGCAACTGTCTTCAGGAAATTTAAGTTGACCAACATCCTGTAATTATCATACCTTGTTCAGAGATAAAGGAACAAGTTCAGAGATAAAACAAGGCACCAAGAGCCTTGATCAGCAGCACAGAGCAGGCCAATGGGAATGCTGAAAACAGAAGCCCACATTCCAGCAACTCCCACAAATATCCCCCAACCAGCCCATGAGGCCACTCTTGCTCTCACAAGGACCGCAATGAGATCGTATCAACACTGGCATATTTCGAGTGCAAGAACAGTTCCTGTGGAGAAGCCCCACTTTTAACTCGGTACCACCATCTCAAAAATATGTAACAGATGTCTGTGGATGGCGTTGACAAGAGCTGACTGTTTAACAGCAACCAAAATCGTGAACACTGACCCATCTCTGGGAATGCCATAACCCTGCGGGGAGAAGCCGAACAAAGCTGATGTGTGACATGACACTCACAAGTCCCCAGGAGAAAAATGGGTGGGACAGAACATTCCAGGAGGAGATAACTGAGTTGTTTTAAATTACAGAGTTTGAATCTGTTATTGTCAACTGACACAAAGAACAAAAATTAACAAAAAAAGTAATCAGGCAACAGTGAAGCACATGGTTTCAGCTCTGCTCCCTTTATACAGAGTAAGATATGAGGCAAAGTCAGTGCCCATCAGATCACACTGTTGATCAATCTCATTTATATCTGCTTAGCATCCCTCTAATTAATCTTCTAAATGAAGTACTAAACCATGCATTCTCCCTAAAAATCTAATACACATCATCTAGTGTAATGTACTACCCTGAATAAAAAAGAAGCTATTCAAATGCAAAACACTCTTACTTCACCTACTGTACATTAGCAATGCAACCACATCCATTGATCACACATTGAAGCCACAAATATTCATAACTGAGCTACCTTTACAGTTACCCAAGTCTCCCTCCAAATTGCATTTATACCAGGAAAAGCTGCTTTCTGAAAACAAAAGAACTAATAACTCAACTGTATATGTGCCTACTCAAGGGAACAAGACTTGTCATAGAATTCTCCAGACAGCACTACAACCACTGGAAGCATTTCACAATTAAAAGCTACTTTGCCTATCAACAGCAGTAGAAGTGCTACTATCAATGTCCAAACTCTTTTAGAAGTTGGTCTGACACAGTAAGTTTTCTGCTTTTATTTTTTTCCTACTTGCAAAATACAACAGCCTCCTAAACCTGAAGCCTGCTATGATAACACAACACTCCAGGGGACACAGCTAAAATTGCTTATCCATGGTTGACTTTGGAGTTCCCTGGTTTTTTAAGTGCTTAACCATCAAACCTCCCTTTTCTCAAACAGAACAACTCAAAGCCCACAGTGGTGTCTATGCTGACTGCACTTCACTATGGATAATAAACCTGAGTCTCAAAGTAAAAAAAAAATAAATCCAAAGTATCACTACTAAATGTGTGACTGGCACTTCAGCTCCATTCTCAGCACAACTGCCACTGTGAACAGGCTGAATATCACACAGCTGATGTCACAGCACAGAGAACTGAGACTACAATGTAGAAAACCAGCTTCTATGTTGTCACTGTCTGCACAGAATCACACACTGAGGCCAATCTGAGTCTTTGAGATGATTCTGTTCATTTTTGTTTTGTTTTCAGCCTTTGTTTAATGCATGTTTGCCTAGCACAGTTACTCAGTTTGTTCTACAGCAAAAGCAAAGGTTTTGCACTGAGATCATAAAACTCATCAGTGACTAAAAGCAACATAGTTCACCTTCTGTAATTAAATCTGCTGGAGTTCTGAATGAACCTGCTGCATGAAGTGCGAAAAGACAAAAATCCTGCACCACGTGACACCTCCAAGTGTTTCTAAGAGTTAGCTGGGAATCAAAAGTTGCTCCTTCAATTACAATGGAGTTGTTTCAGATTAAATTTATCATCAGCAAGACCTGGGATTAGCCCTGCCCCTAAATAAAACCTGACAAGTTACATTCAGGGCACAGCTATGACAATACCTATACTCACTTTGAAGGGCTCTCTGGTACAACCCACCCCAGCTGACTTCTCATTTCTAACTGGGCTAAAAATTCTCATTTTACAGCACTTTTCTCCTTGAAAGGCAGTCTCTCCTCCTAGTCTACTACTACATACCCTGGAAGTGGAATTCCCTGGTGATGGCAAAGAAAGCATCAAGAATTACAGGTATCTCATGAATTTCAGCAGTATCAAGTTTCATTTTGAACCCCTGATGATACTGAATGGGTGGAAATCACATCAACCAGTAGGTAACTACTAACTTCACACCAGAAAGAAGTTTGAGTTGGCAAACTACAGCTTGGTAGTTTAACTTGGTATGAGTGAACTGGCAGTTCTACAAACAGGACTAAACTCAGGCAGATTTGGGCTATTTTCAGTTCTTGCTCTTGCCACAGAAGACAGGAAGAACACGCACAGCAGAATGACAGAATATTAAGAGCCCCTTAGGCATTATACCATTGTATTGAGCTACTAACAACTTAGACAGTGACTTAGTGGTTTCTGATTAAAAAATTAAGCCACACTGATTCAATAACAGGTGACCACACAGTGAGTTACAAATATTTCTATTACTTTTGTTGGCTATTCATGTCACTGATGCACCAACTTATCTGTCATTTCTACCAGCAGACATCATCATGCCCTTATGTAACACATATTGTACTGAAATCTTGAATACAGCTCAGTTTTGCTGACCCCCTGATTAAAAAAAATATAAAATAATAAAAAATACAGAGAAAGGAGATGACACAGGCAAGAGATATGGAAGAAATTCTATACAAGAGAAGCGTCTAAAAAGCTAAGAATTCTTTACCTTGAAGTAAAGGAGGTAGGGACATAATGAAAGAACACAGTTCTGAAATAGTACAAAGATAGTGAGCAGAGAACAAGCATAACACACTTTATAAGAACCAAACAGTATCAGGCAGTAAAAAGAAGCAAAAGGAAATAGTTTTTCTACATATTAACCAGTGGAACTCACTGCTGACAGACTTTCTAAACTGTTCATATTTCTAGAATCTGGAAAAAAATCATTTGGATGAATTAATGGCAAGTGTGTCAAGGGCTATAAAACACGCAGGTGTGGACACACTGACAGTAGCAAAAACGTAAACTGTAGCTGGAGAAGAAAAGGTATTTCAAGATTACTCTCTGCTATAGCATATATACTCCTGACAACCGAGCACAAACAGCTTGAGTGTTGCTGGAATCCAAGCGCAGGAGAGATGGCAAAAAAACCAGAAGCAGGAAAGCGTGAAGAGAGATCCCGAACGCCAGCCGCGGTTCATGCTCTGCACGCTGTGCTCAGACAGACCAAAAGACCTGGCCCAAAGCAAGAACAATTGCGACACGCACTCTTCGCGAGGAGAGTTATTCCCTTCTTCCCCTCTCTCGCACAAACTGCTGGATTCGGCTCAGACTACGTGCAGCCACGGCTTCTGGTGGGACACCGAGGCGAAGCGCAGCAGCTCCTCGCGGAGCCCCTGGATGCAGCTCCTGGAAGCCGAGCGTGCGAGGGGAGCAGCTTTGAAATGGCTACTTACAGAGCCCAGACACGCGGCGCAGGAGCCCCGCGGGTCAGCCCGGACCGCGCTCCCGCAGCCGGGGCAGCGCCGGAGCCCCGCGGGCCGCGACCCCTCAGCGCGGCCCCGCCGCCCCCGCCCCGCTGCCCCCGCCCGGCGCCCACCGCCCACCTGGCGCGGGGCTCCCCGCCCGGCCTCTCCTCACCGCTCCGTGCCCGGCGTCCCGGCCGGGCGCCCCGCGACGAGGCGCTCTCGGTGGGAGGGAGGGAGGGGGGCGAGAGGGCTGAGACCCCGCGCGGCCTCCGGCGCATGGGAGGCGGCGCGCCCTGGGCCGGGAATGCCGGAGCCCCGCCGGACCCGAGCAGGTTCCCGGCGGCTCCGGGGCTCAGGCTCAGCCTCTCCCGCTCCCCTCGCGCCCGCCCGCGCACGGCGCCGCTCGCGCCCGCGGCCGCCACCTGCCGGCACGAGCCCGGCACGTCCCGAGCCCTCCCCCGGCGCTCCAGAGGGTGGGTGTCCAGCGGGGATGGGTGTCCAGCGGGGATGGGTGTCCAGCGGGGATGGGTGTCCAGCGGGGATGGATGCCCAGCGGGGACCGGGGGGGGGGGAAGCACGGCACCTTCCAGCGGCGCCGGTGCGCGGACGTGCGGGGGAGAAGGCGGCGTGTGGCGGGGGCGGTGCGGGGGCTGCCCCGCGGATCACCCGCGTCCGTCCTCACCCCCGTCCGTCCGCCCCCGCGTCCACCCCCCCTCCGCCCCCCCCCCCCCCCCGCGTCCGTCCCCACGGGCGTCCTTCCCCCCCTGCGCTCATCCCACCCGTGTCCATCCCCCCCGCGCCCATCCCCGCGCGGTGCGGTGACATCCAGAGGTGTCAGGGAGCGGTGCCCCTGCGGGAGCGGCTGGGCAGGTGCCGCTGCCGGGGCCGTCCGGGCTCCGCCACCGCAGCGGGAATGCGGGACATTGTCATCTCTCAGCTCCTCCAGCCCTTCGCTGTTGGAGACACTAACGCACCCCACGCTGCTGCCTTCAGACGCTACAAGAAAACACGGGAGACAATTGTCATCTCCCTGCCCACCGGCTGGATGAAAGACCATCTGCTTCCAGCAAAAATACTGATAGCTAGGAGATAATATGCGTTCCTGATAGTGTTTGCTTAAAAGCCCGAGATTTGAAACAGAGCCAGTGACAGTGGTACACTGACACTGTGGAAAGCGAGCCACAAGCAACTACGAGGAGGATCTTTTCTTGAAAACTTTTGAGTTGGCATCTCAGGAAAAAAATGGATTTGTGTCTCTGTTCCTGCTTTATATTAAGTGTACTGGACCTAAGACCCCTGAGGGCATTTTTATTGAACAGAGCAATAAAGTGTCTAGCACGAGCTCTAAACCTTAGAACCAGATAGTCACTCGCAGCAGTTCATTGCAACATTTAGTTTTATGCTTTAAAAAACCCACAAAACCATTATTTTTGTGCTGGAACTGGCCCAATCAGGTGAACCCATTTGCTTTAAAGCACAGCAAACAAGTTGTTTTTTCCTTGGCAACATTTTGGGCTCAATTACACTTGAACAGAGCCAAAACAGTAAAAGATGATGTGTTGATTGTGCTGTTCATTGCACCAGAAAAACTTGTCCATTCGCAAGTCCACATATAGCAACAGGCTCTAAGCAAAAGATCTACTGCAGAAAACTTACTTTCCCCTGTGTGTTCAGCAGGCAATTGCCAGAGCACAGCACTCCCAAACAGCTTCAGACACCTTGTAGGCACCATGGCAGATCTTGGCTGCAGAAAGACAGCTGTATACAGCTGCATATTAAAGTTTTCTCACAGGCAAAGAAAAGCTGCATTATAACACTAAGAGAGGGGTAGCTATACTACCTCCAAGAGACTGAGATTTGTAGGAAGCAAATGGCTTTGGAAAGCACAGCTTTAATTTAGAAGGAATTCCGCCAGTCCCTCCTGAGTTATGAGTTGGTTTGGTACCACGTAAGCCTGCACCTCTGCATCAGAAGTGCACTGAAGGCACTGAAGCCTGTTTGGCAGTGGTAGCCAATCTGTCAGGAAGCAAATGCTGCTCTACTCTGACCATGATCTAATGAAGTACATACATAAGTGACTAATTGCTAAGCCAGGTAGCATGTGAGCAAGACTAGCTCTGGCAGGTTACAGTATTTTAGTTCTAATTGCTGCTGCAGAGCACATGTTCTACTTCATCTACTCTGCCAATTACTTGACTCCTGTTTACTTCAGGGAGAGACAGAACTGTAGCCAGAGGGACTGCAGACAAGTTTCTTTTCAAGAGCAAAGACCTAAGTACTAAGGTATTAATTACTGTACTTAACTAACACTGGAACGCTCAGCTTGAGACAGTCCCTAACTCCTGATATTGAAGAAAGATTACTTTAACTGTGCCAATCTGAAAACTAGCTACCAAACTCTATGAGCCCTCGGGGGAGGAGGAGTTGCTTCTATATAAAGGGAAGCTGAAAAGCATTAGCCTGCACCCTGGAGGTCCTGGTTCAGCTGGGCACTAAATAGCATCAGAAGAGCTGGAGCCTTGGTACATTAAAGCAGAGACCACAAGGAGGCCTTTTGAAAAGCCAAGGAACATACACTTGCCACTGTTTTCCCTTCCAATCTCTTTTGTTGCCTTTAATTTCCCTAATCTCCCTCTTGCTTTCCATTTGACTTTTGGAGTGATTGCTCCCTCCCAAGAGCTGATGCAGAATCCCGTCTCTCATCCCTGCACCTCCTCCTCCCCTTGCTGCTCCCAACAGCGTGCACGGTGTTTTCCGGGAAGTTGTCACGCTGCTGAGGGGGCAGGAGCAGCACTTCCCACACCTTATCTGTGCATCAGAGCAGCTGACACTCAATTTGTTCTGAACAACTGCAGAGCTATGAGTTTCCTCATTATACTGAAACGTTATCCGAGGTTTTTCGTGGTCTCATGTAACAAATGGGGCTATCTGAGGAAAAAAACCCAATATGCTCAGTCTACTGGTTGCTTTTTAATAAGAGATGGATGTGTAGGAGAATATGAAATAGCATCAATCTTTTAAATGGAGAGTAAAACATAATGCTTGAAAGAAAACAGCATTCGCTAGATTAAATGTAATTGCAGTAACTCACAAAGGAAAAGCTTGTTTAAAGCTTTAGTTTGCTAGCAGAAGATGCCATAGAAAATAATGTATTTAAGGGAGGTATCAACTCACCAAGGAAAGAAAGATCTGAGTAGGACAAGAATCACAGAATCATAAAATCATTTAGGTTGGAAAATAACTCAAGGATCATTGAATCCAGCTGTAAACCCAGCACTGCCACTCCCAGCACTGAACCAAATCAAAGTGCCACATCTACATGTAACCACACGAATCAGCTACTCGATCATTTCTTCAGCACATGGTGATCCAGCCACATCTTGTCTCCTCTAGTGAGGGCAGGGAGAGCCACCAGCACCACTCACATAGCAAATTTCAAAGATTCTGGTTTGAGATGTAAGAGGTATTGGGGTATTTTTACTTCCAGAGCTGAAAGACTTCCCTGCCCGTGAGCCAGTTCTTTGGCCAGCTGCCTTAGTGAAAGAGGAGGAATCTACTTCAGTTGGTTTCATTAAAATTCTTTGGGTTACAGCAGCTTGGGAACAAGACATTAGTGCTACTTCAAAAATTCAGACTAGAGCACAGCATAAAATGATAAGACTGGCAAACATGAGAGGGTAGAACAGGGGACTGCCCTGCAGGACTGAACTGCTGCTCACTAGTCACAAAGAATCATCTCACACTAGCAGTGAGAATGAAAGTGTGTGAAAATCCCCATTGGGATAAGGAAAGAGAGAATCTGAGAAAGAAGATTAGATTGTGGTAGAGTAGGAAGCTAGAGTTTCCCTCCCTTGAATTGTTTCAGCCACTTATTACTTGTTTCAATACTTCTCTGTGAGCCACTAATTGTCGCAGTGGGATCTTTCTGCTTCATTTCCCTCTCTTTGTGAGAGCAGGCGTCAACACTGCAAAGAGTTAGAAATCTGCAGCCTGGTACACAGAGGACAATGTCCGATTTGCAACATGTCCAGCACAGGTCAGTGGCATGGTTAAGCCTTGGAAAATGCCTTTTATACGAGCATTAGATTTCAAGATCTTGAGGGGAAAAAAACCCACTATTGCAAATCCAAAAAGCAAACAGAAAAAAAAAAAAAAAGAAATAAAATGGAGACAATGAGTTAGCTGGCTGGCTTGGAAGAAAGACAGGGTAGTTTTACAAGTTTTCTCTTCACCCCTTGATCTGTTCTCTTCAAGCAGGAGTACTTAGTAGAAAGAGCACACGACACAAAAGAAAAAGAATAGTAGCTAGCTCAGTTACAGCTTAGCTATCCCTGAACAGCAGCAGTGTTTTTTAGTTCAAACTCAGAAACTCTGTCCAGAAAAGCCTCTGTTGCATGTCCCCATCCATGCCTGTCCCCGGTGCTAGATCAGCTGTTCCTGTCAGATCCTTGTTTGAGAACAGTGGAGACACATAGAAGATGGAAAGTTTTCCAATTAATATGTCACATTACAGGAATGGGAGAACATGCCTATTTTATATTCATTGTACTTTGCATGTGAGGGCACGTTCCAGGGATGGCACATTTCCCTGGGACCAGCAGCTGCCCTGGTAGGTGGTACCAACACCTCACTCTTAAGGCAAACTTCACGACAGCACAGCAGGGCAGGTTTAGTTTCTACCCAAAGAAAAAAAGGACTTCCCCCTTCCTCCTCCATACTAAACATTTCTCTCTGGCCACACTGGAGGAGTTCTCCATGTTCCAGATAAGCACCAGACAGGTCATGTAAAACTACACAGACCACACCCCTTGCTCTTACCACTGTGCTACATATAAAAACCTCAAGAGTATTCTTTATGTGGACACACTCATTACTTTTTTCCATTGCCTCTTGCTAATCACCATCTTTAGTCATTTAGAGCTAGCATTACAAAATTTATGTCAAATAACCTGTCTACACATGTTTCCTGCTTAAGCCTTCCTTTTAGAACACATTCACAGCAGAAAATATGAGTGAAGGACAAGCAGAAGGTTACACAGATTTAGGTGAAGCAAAAATATGCCTTTAGGAAAACAAGAAAGTCATTCAACCGAGTGACATTTTTAGCTTGTGTTTCTTATCTTTCCTATCTAAAAGCAAGACTGAAGACCTACAGCACACACACCATGTGCTGTTTTACATTTATTTTCCTTTGTTGTTTCTCAGCTGTATAATTTAAACCTTCTTTCTTTTGCTATATCTGTAACTACAACACATTCTAATATTTACAAATGGAGAGTGACTTGGCACAATCTTGGGTGCAGCCTGTCTGCCATCAGA